CTATATGCACAGAGTTTTACGTAGGGATTTATTTACAGGGATTTATTTCCCATTACAGATGCACATATGAAGACTGCATATGAATATTGTTCAACTATTTATTTATTTATTTATACATGCATTGCATTTTATCTTTATTTTAAATTTTCTTACTGCCAGAGGTCTTCCACGGAAGTTGCTCTTAACATGGCGTTGGGGGCAGCCTACTACCCTACCTCCCCTTACCTCATTCTATATGGGAATAGGGTTTTGTTGTTGTTGTTGTTATAAAATTTAAATGTTCAGTATCTAAAAAACTATTTTAATATTTTTTGTGAACTTCACCCATAAAGAAATCTGCGAGACAATAGTTGATTGGTTGGAATTTTTTCACATCCCTAAACTTGGGGATAAAAAAAGTGGTGCAATTTGGGCTTTTCTTTAGTTTGATTGCTTGGTTTTCCGATTCAAATAAATAACATGGTAGCATGGTTAAACAATTGCTCAGGGCCAATGTGGTTTAATGTCGTAGACGAGATAATAATTTTATGCCCCTATATTTGTACCTTATAATAGACAAAACATAAATAATTTTTAAAACAAAAATGTAATAGAAATTATAGTCAAGCAATATCAATACTAATACAAACCAAAACCTACAAGGCTACAAATATTACCTAAAATGATGCATTCGTGCATTTTTTAAAGCAAAAACCTCTATTATTTACGTACAGTCCTCTGTGGTCTTTCAATAAGCCTGGTTTTTTTTTTTTGAAAGATTGGAATAATTCATTACCACATATAATACCCATAATTAGAACTGTTTCTTCACTAAGACGCACTGGAAATATAGATCAAAAGAAAAAGGGAATATTATTAACCATAAAACTCTATGATTTTAATTGAAAAGTAGCTCTATTAGAGCATATGTGAAACTTAAAAACTTCAAATGCTTTGATCTTTTTGGCATTGTAACTACAACTATTTAATAATATTATGGATGGCATTTTCGAGTCACATCCATTTTCACAAATTTCCTCATAGAAGACATTCAAAATTAAGCATACAAGAATCTGTACCCTTGAAAAATGGAAATCCCATTTGTCCCTTTATGACTTGATTGTACAACTGAATCAGTTATTTCATATGGATCTCCCGCAGAGGTAGTGTTGCAGGCAGTGTTGCTCTCACTTGAAATTGGATGACTACTAACCACAAAACCATTTTCAGTTCGTATAGAAGAAAATGTTTTTATTTCTTGTGCTTGTAGAACGGAATCACTCGAATATCTAGCAGAAGAAGCCACTGCAACATTGCCAAAAGAGTTTCAAAATCATCCATAGTTCTAGGATAAAATCAATGCGAAGAAGAAATAAAAGCCAAAAAGAAATAAAGAAAACCATTAGTTTGATTTATCAACAAGTTTCACATGAAAATATCAAAGGCGAATGATTAAATCTCAGAAAAGAAAAAGAATAAAAAAGAATAAAAAATGAGTACAGTGAACAACATAAATACTGCATACGAAAAAAGGAGAGCAGAAATACAAAATGAAGAGAAACAATTTACAGACAATATTAAAAAAAACCAATAAAGTATTTAGTTGTTTGAGCAAGAGAATAAACAACTTCATTTAGAGCTAGTAGTGAGGTAAATATCTTAGGAATAAGCCCATTAAATCCATAATCATCATTTTGTGTCTGACAACAGGGATTATGCCCCCTCAAATATGCTATCATGGGCTAAGGTCATCTGGCATATGTATTGAGCCGGGCCTGCAACTGTTAAAATTCCAAGACAACTTGATTTCCCATCCCCTGTACGTGCTTCAGAGGGTCATTCTTCCGAATTCTTCCAGTAAGACCACGATTTGGAGAAGTTTGCACAGTGCAATAATCGGACTCCGGTTTACACTTCCCGTCTTGGCCTTGGGAGCTTTCCCAGTGACCGGAGGACTGGGGTTAACAATGCCAACTGGAAGTTTCTTCGAAGCTGAAGATCTTTCATAATCCAACTTGTTTATGTTCCCAATCATCACATCATTATCTGAAACCAAACATATTTGAGTTCCATCCTACGGTACTAGGATGAACAGAGAACTTAAATAGTTGGATAAGCTTTACCAGGGCTGGACAAAACAGCCCGAGGGGGTAGAACTGAACTAGCTTTTACATTTGATTTCAAATTTTTGCCCAACTGCTTCTTGTTCTTAGTTGTTCCAACATCTGAGAGAATAAACGGGGAAATTGTCCGATAAATATAACGAGAAACGCATTTTCATAAACGATAAACAATTCGTATGCAAAAAAACCAAACCTTTGGACGCAGATTTTGGTGTTGGGCTGGTGTGACATGCCTTTGTGACTCTGGGAACTGAAGTTGGAGGTGAGGAATTGATTTTATTCTCCTTTTCTGCTGAAAGGAAAACGTTCAAAATACTTGAAACAAGTATATAACTTTTTTTAGAAAAAAAAAGAACCTTGTTTTGATAGAGATTCGATGAGCCTCAAATACAAAGAGGATTGCTCGTCGTCCTGGGGAAGGAAATTATCTTCTTCTTGAACTCACTTTCACCCTTGAGTACACTGCAACAAAATCAACTGATTCATATTAGAAAATCTACTGCGATTTTTATTAACATCACAGAAGCAGAATACAGCCGATAACATTACTTTTCGACCACTACGAGCTCGATAAATTTACAAAACTAGCCAGAAATTTGGAAAAATCAGCATTATTTATATTAAAATGGGAGAAAAAATAGGCGAGGAACGAAAACCCAGGTGAGAAATCCTACTTGTGTGTGTTTTCTTTGTGCTTCCTTTCAATTCAAATGGCTCTGGCTCTGGCTCTGGCTCTGGCTCTGGCTCTATCTATTCTGTCTTAAATGTGTGTATATATATATATATGTGTGTATGTATGCAGAGTTATAATGGGTATGGTATACGTAGGGTGGAAGTAACTGTGCGTAACGGTACCTAGTGGGAGTAAAGTGAGTGGTCATTTTCTTGACTTGAAAGCCATGAACTCAGTCAGATTCGGAGCTCCACGTGACTGACGCCTGGATGGATCTATAAATGTCGCTTCTCACGGAGGAAAGCAAGGAATAGCAATTACCAACTCCAGCCCTCCCAAGTTATTTGATTCTTTTTTTAAAAAAATTGAAAATGTTAAAATTTTGTTTGATGTTTTCATGAGAATAATATTTAAATTATTTTTTAATTAATTATTGGTATATGATCTATTGATCAATTAATCTATGTCAGATATTACAAAGTAAAAAACGACACTTCTAATCCACTTTGCTCTCAATTCCACCATTGATCTTATTTAAATAATCTAGTTTCTTATCTCACTATATCAACTAATTATTAATATCTAATTGTTTTTAATTCTAAATAATAGTATTCAAATGATATTTTCGGTCACGTAGAAAATATACATGTCCAGTTAATCGTATTTTATCGAAAGCGGGCTTTGATGATAATGATAAAACCTTTATCCTACGTGACAAAGCTACCATAGAATTACTTTCTATTGATTCTATAAGGTGTAGTTATCTAAACACACCTCTCATTTAAATTTTCATATAAGGAGTTGAGATTAATATTTTAAAATGACTATATTACCTAAAATAGAAATACGTGTGTTTATATTAACAATAAAGAGATTAGTATTTATAAAGAAAATGAAAAAGGTAAATTCAGATAATCATGGATAATCTTTATTTAAATCGATTTCATAATAGCATCATGACATTTATGTATCAAACTTTATAATACTAAACAGTATTTAACAACCATCGTTGTCATTATTATCATTACTGACAATTTATTTTAACATCCTCATTTACTTATGGAATAAATTACCTCATTGGCGTGTTTAAATCGTACGATAATAAATAGTAATATGTGAAGAATAATGACTAACTAGATCTCTGACAAATAATCTATCATCAGATGGAATGACGAAAATTAAGAGAATAACATCAGTGAGTAGGAAGTTAATAACTGAAATTGACGTGATGAAGTAATCTCAATTAACATCAACCTCCATACAACATATGTCGGGTTCGATAGTATTGGTGTAAAAACCCTTGCATCACACTCGACAATACTATAACATTTTACAAAATGTTGTCACTTCTTTTGCTTTTGTTGTGACAAGGAATGAATGATTCTTGGTAATCATATGGGTTAAAATGCATGTTTTGATAAGCGTATTTTATCCTAAAATTTAGTTTAAATTAAAAACGTTGGTTAAAACTCGCATTTAAATGTTTTTTTAAATAATGAGAAATACAGTTAGATAAATATATATTAAAAAAATACTAAATTAAACGTGTAACTAAAAAACTGTTTCTAAGAACATTTTAACGATTATACATTTAGATGATGTGCATTCCTCAAAGAATCAATCAATGAGCAGTGCTATGATACATGGTAAGACAAAAACGCTGTCCATAAAGATAGCATTCAATAAGGCATGATTAACTGAACATTTTTTGAAAAACATATCACTTTTGAATTTAATGTTGTTTGTATGTTATCCGAGTAAAAAACAATTTGAGTAATATTCTCGTAAAATTGTCTAAAATAAATACGAAGGTAAATGAATTTAAATTAAATTAAATGTTTAATATAAAAATAAATGACTAAATTAAGTTAACTTTTGATGCATAAATAATTTTTCTTTAAAAATAGTTATTTAACATGTTTCTTATTATACTTTTAGGTGTTTATTGTAAAAAATTATCCATTAATACGCGTTATGTTTATATACATTTTTTTAAACGTGACACACGTCATTTAAAGATTTTTTTTAACATTAGATACCTATAAGTGTAATGAAGAAAATATTAAATACCTATTTTTAACAAAAAAAAATTGTAGACACCAATAATTAGCTTTATATATAGTTTGACACTTATTTTTGTATTAAATATAGATTGGATTAAATCCTTAAATAATAAATTAAAAACACTTAAAAATCGCAAACGATCAACTTATACGCGGTTTAGTCCATCGCTATTTGAGGCTTTAACGTAAATTGAAAACCCTCCAACACATACCCCACTTCGATTTCTACGATCATGGCCGCCCAACCCAAGCGAAACAGCGAGAGGCAATCCGACTCCGGCATCCTCGCCAAGTTCACTTCCTCCGCCATCGTTTCCCTAGGTAAGCAGGCTGCGAACGACGCTGCTTTCGTCTCCAAGAAACTCCTTTGCAGCACCGGCAAAGCTGCCTGGATCGCAGGGACAACCTTCTTGATCTTATTTGTCCCTTTGATCATTGAAATGGACCGCGAGCAGCAGTTCAATGAGCTCGAGCTTCAGCAAGCTACTCTCCTCGGTGCCCCGCCCACTGGACCCTCCCATAAGTAATCGTATCGAGTCGTATCAGGTCAGAGCATTGGCGTTTATCAATTTTGCTCCCGTTTCAGGTCATTATTCCGGTGATTATTCTATTAATACCCTTCTGATTTAGTTTTAGTTTTTTGTTTTTTATTTTAAATAAGATTATACTTTTTCGGTGTTTTAAATTTTAATTGCTTGTGAAAATGTTGATATTGGGCTAGTTTATCAAGTTTATCCCTATAAATTTTAAGTGAAAATTGATTGTGTTTGGTTTTGATATGATACAGTAACTGAAAACCGAGAGTGTTCATTTGAGGTACTTTTGAACGATATTAGATGGTTTTGGAATATACATATGATTCATTGCAAATGATGATGATATGAGGAGTCATTGGGAATTTGAGATAGCTGCAATGTATGTTAGATAAAAACTACTCTCACATCATCAGAGTGGAGATTGTAAATGTATAAAATGAATAAATTATAGTTCAAATGACCATTTTTTATGGTTTGCATTTTTTAAAGTTGTACCAAAACGCATTTATTTGGTTGCTTTGCCTTGAATCAGTGTTTGTGGACCAAGTTGAAGCTTTTGAGTTTACGTGTAACATGGTGTACATAGATATGTGACTAGTTCCTGTTTCTGTCTTGGGATCTTATACTTCATATATATTCCATTATGGTGTTTCACCATTAACATTGGTGATGAATAGTTGGACTTGGGAGGTGGAGTAGGTTTAATATTAGTTTAAGTAACCACTGCTTTGGTTTGGTAGTTCTCTTTGTGGTTCTCATTTGCTCCAACTAGATCTAGAATGTTGAGGATCGTGAGCTCCTGGAATATTGGAGTTAGGTATTGAACATAAGGTCTTTGATGCTTTTTTTATTTTTTAGAAAATTGTTAAGGGTTAAGCTTTTTTTAGAATACTATTGCACCAGAACCACTCTGTTCAATCTTTTGTTCTCTGCAGTGTCAGATCGGAACAAGATTATATGTTGTCCAAAAGTACCTATTATACTTTTCTGTTCAACAGGCTAAAATCCATCCACCAATCCGCCGATTCCCGTCTCTATGTTTCCCACCTTTGGCATCTACTCAACACCATTTTGGTGTGATTTCACTTTTAGCCTTGTGACAATGCAGTTTTGGGAATGAAACGATAATGCGAATTATTTGCCTTGGTGGGGGATGCAAGTGCCCTAGAAGAAATTACTGGTAATGTTCTTTTTGAGCCAATCCTGAATCCACTGACCCTTCTATAAATATATTGACCAAAACCGTCATAGTTTAAGCTCTACTATATTAACCATCATCCTATAAAGGGCAAAACAAAAGTAGGACGTTGGGGAAGAAAGTGGTAAGCTTTTGATACTCGGCTACTTTTCTTGCCAGGCATCTGCCACTTGGATAGCTTCCTTGTAACTAGAAATAAGATGCACAAAGTGAATTTAGGTGATATGCAGCAGTGGGAAGAGCTGATGAACAACATGATGAGATTGGAATGGATGGTCCAATCTTACAAAATAAAAGGGGTTTTGGTTTGCTACTGTTTATAGTTACAACTATCTTCTTTCTATACATGTGGTGGCGCAAAAAGTAAGGTAATCTGATCTCACAGCGACTTGCCAACTTAAGCATCCTATTTGGTGGAGAGTTAAGAGAGGTCGGGCCCTAATGAAAACTATTGAAGATGATTTGTTTGCCTTTTAAGATTGGTGGGGGGAGAAAGTATCGGATATTGTCGAATTTGAAACAACCTCCACTGTCGTGCACTAGGTGATACTTCATATGATTGATGAAATTGGTGTGGCCCTTTGAGACCAGATAACCAGAGAAGAATGGTTCTGGCCCTGATATTTTTCTGGGACTTTGATTTAACACAGTTGTTTGACTAACATTGTTACGTATACAAGAGCTAGTTGGACGTATACATGGCAATCAGCTAAAGAATTCCCTTAGCGACAAAGATAAGTAAAAAAATGTTTGTAATACGCAATTGCAAGTGCTGTGCCTGCTTTTTTATTTTTTACTTTATTTTTATTGATACCCACCAAAGAAAAGGCAAAAAAGATCAACAAAATTGGGGTTTAAGTTAGTCGGATCAAGCATTCATAAAAGATATCAAGCAAATTTAGCTTGAATTTTAACGTTTATATCCCTTTTCTTTTATGCTTAAATTACAATCTTTAATGTACAAAAGGATTTAAATTGTAAATAGTTGGATGATAATGTTTCTGTTAAAGACAGTGAATGTCAAAATTTTTTAATAATGTTTATGCACAATAAAATAGACATATTTGAATTTTATAAGTGTTTGTGTTATAATGAAGGGTAAACTACACACTTGGTCATTAATGTTTGGGGTAGTTTTCGTTTTTTCCACTGATATTTCAAAAGTTACAAATTGATTACAAAATGGTCGTTAGACGTTGACAGACATTAAGAGTCCTCACGGAAAACACACGTGACACGTTTAAATGCTGACATGGCATGAGTTGAATAGGTTGACTTCCACGTTAAATACCCCCAATAACTCTTAACGTTCACCCCTCTTCTCGTTTTCTATTTATCCCAAGCACAAACCAACTTCAAAATTAAGGTTTTATTTTCACAAATCTTCTTTCAAATTTGGGTCTGAAAATTGTAAGGCAAATCCTTGAAGATGAAAGACTCGATCGATGTTTCGTTTTGCAAGATGCCTAGCGAAGGTGGCCACCGCTTGGACAAATTAAAACTCCCACAGTTTTTAAACAAACAAATAATAGGGCAAAAGCTAAATAAACACTGTAGAGTATTTCACCTGAGAACTGGGAATGACACTTCTTGGTAACCCATTTTCAGGACTTCCATTCAAGAATCCTGAAAATTCTTCCGTGAACTCATTTCCATGATTGCTACGAACGTCAGAAGTTGAATCGCAAACGGAACCTCCTTGAGCAACTGCAGAGAACAAACTATCTTTAAGCGATACATTTACACCTCCATTTTCTTATCTCCAAAGCTTCCGATTCACACTCATTTGATCATGTTCCAAGTTTCAAGAAACTTGAGTCATCGAAATCGGAGACTCAAGAAAAGAATCATATTCCATAAACGAATCAAGTGTCTGTAATTCGGGTGAAGCGGTTGCTGCAGATTCATCGCTAGTTGCGCCTATGTAGTATGTTCCTCCTACGGTTGCGGTCTCTCCTACCAAAATTCGATCCGGTAATCGAACTACAACTGTTCTCTAATTTTGACCCTTCCTCTTGTGCTATTTTCTTTGCAGTTTGAGAAGCTTCATAAGCAAACCCTTTAACATGAGCCATCTGATCAGATTGACACTTCTCCATCTTATCAGAAGCAAACCGCCAGTTATCGGACTCTATAAGCGCCTTCAAGCAAAGAGCGGCATCAGAACGCAAGCTCTCTTGAGAACCCAAAAGAGATTCCGAAAGAGGCTTACAAAGCGAGTGGATGATATCTCTTTATCTTCTGCAGTGGTCGGATCAATCCCATATCTTGCAATCGCAGGAACGACTTTCGAACAGGCTTGTTGCAGAGGAAAAGAGCCTGCGCTCGAAGCTAATGTCTTGATAATGGTAGACATTATACTATCAATTTGAGGAACACAATCTTCACACCATGAACACGAGCAAGAACTTCGTAGAGCGAAATGGTGTATTCGCCCGACACGAACCCGGTTTCTTTGGTCTCCAAAACTTGAGCAAGGAAGACCGGTATCGCCTTGAAAAGCGGAATATCGATTGAGTCTTCAATCTTCAAGGATTTGCCTTACAATTTTCAGACCCAAATTTAAAAGAAGATTTGTGAAAATAAAACCCTAATTTTGAAGTTGGTTTGTGCTTGGGATAAATAGAAAAGGAGAAGAGGGGCGGACGTTAAGAGTTATTGGGGTATATCACGTAGCAGCCAACCTATTCAACTCATGCCATGTCAGTACTTTACGCGTCAAGTGTGATTTTCGTCGGCATCATAACGTCTGTTAACGTCTAATGATTATTTTGTAATCAATCGATAATATTAATAACTGATTTGTAACTTTTAAAACATTAATAGGAAAAACGAAAATTATCCCAGACATTACTGACAAGCTATGTAATTTACCCTATAATAAATAATGGTGGGTGCCTACCTAATAAGGCTGCTACACATTGGAATGCTTACTTTTGCAATCATTTCCACGATGGGATTTTAGTAATCAAAGTTTGAACATTTGCTTTACTTTTATTATTATTTTAAACAGATGTTTTTCTTAGACATCAACACGTAGCTGTGTCTTCAGAGGGAGCCTCGAGCGGTCTAACATCGATGTGGGATAAAATATTGTTTCTCTATGAAAAGGAAGATCCTACTACGTAGGATCGTAGTTTTGGTCGGTTCACTGACACATTATCACTTGGAGACTTAGTAAGGTGTCCCAATGCTATTGCTTCGAGTTCGTAGAGGATTTGCTTCAAGTTTCGTGTATTAAATGCTTGGTCAAGTCTAGCAGGAGAGTTTTATGGTTGCGCTGATTGGCTAGTAGTGGAATTAGGATATCTCAAATTCTAGCTGATTGTATGTAGCTTGGTTGTGATGTTCATATGGCGTTGTTGGTTAATTGGCTTGTGTTTTAGTGGGGAATTAATCAAGTTCGAAATGAGGGGCTTCAGACGCCAAGGAAGAAGAAGCTACGAAGCGCCATATGGAATTGCCGAGGGTGGAATCTGGCATAGTGGGAGGATTGCTATGGAATCTGTCATTTTGTACGTCATAATTTATGTGATGGTGCTAGTTAATTTTGGGGAATTGCATGGATTGGTTCTAGTCATTCTGCTCAAGGTACCTTATTTTTCGGATTTGTTGGTTAATATCCAAGTTTGTATGTGCTTAGGTTGGATTCATTTGTGTGAAGGTGCTGTTTTGATCTCTCCGTTGATATTCATAGTGCACTCTTCTTCATCCATCATAGTTTAGGGAGATTTTTTAACAAGGTCGATTATATCTCGTTTTATATTGTGTATATCTCGAATACAAAACATTCCTTTCAAATATATTTACATAAATTCGTTTCCAATTTTACTCATTTGACGTCTAGGACTTGGAAAGGTACTCGGCCTAATTTTTAGAAGCCAAAAAACCCCACCGGAATTGGCGCCGACGGTAGCAAATTTTTATAATGGGACAATTTGTTGTTAATGAATTTGATTATTGGGTGCAAACAAGTAAAATCGTACCAAATTGTATTTTTATGGATTTTTTTAAAATTTCAGATTTAATTTTTTTTCTGTGGTTCAGTGCATTAGTTTTATAATCTTGTTTAGTGTCTTATGAGTGATTTCAATATATGTGACTGCCTTGTTTTGTTTATATTCATTTTTTAATAACAAATAGAACGAACTTTGAAACGGTAAATATTATTGTACAGTAACATTTGCCAAATGTGTGCGTATATACATTGATAAGAGCAAAGGGGAAATTTTTTGTAATCACACTATTAGCCTTCTATAATTGGATGTTACAAAACAACCTCAAGTTAAAAGGTCAGTGGTATCATCTTTGTAGAAAGCTCCTCTCTTTCTAGAATATTGGAGCCACCCCATTTCGTTTCTAAGGACCTCAATAGCCTGCACAAAGAACCATGCAAAATATAATCTTCTAAAATCAAAATGAAAACACCTGCTCAAACAACGTTTCCTTTCTTTTAGGAGTTTTAGAAATCTAACCTTCATGTTTCTTACTTCGTCTCTTGCACACTGATTTCAGAAACATCAAACAAACAACGATGAACCCTAAACCGGCTACTCCTCCGACTGCGATTGCTACCGTCTTTTGTGCTCGTTGCCTTGCCTCTCCACTCCCTACAAACAACAATGAACCCCGAACCCCAAATCGGTTTCTTCAGGGGGGAAATAGAGCAACAGCAAAAATGGGACTCTATTGGGACCTATTGTCAGCCCTATACTAACATAATTGAAAGAAAATAAATAAGAGTGACCTTTACAAGACTACACCCAAACCCCACAGGGACCCAATGCTTTTGACTATGTAACACTCATGGAAATCCACCTGTCTTCTTCACACACCCGACTTATTTCATTATTTTTCAAGTAAGGTAAAAAGAAAACAAAATTTGGGCACGGATTCCTTTTTTTATCTGCAGCTTTACCTGACGATATGGTTGGAATTCCATTGGGATAGTAGCTGTAACTAATGTAGCATTTGTGCAGATAAACCTGAGCTGAAACCGAGTCGCCACAATCCTGTTTCTCCGTCTCAAAAGCCGTCTTGACGCAATCCCCACAGTCATTTGTAGCCAAATCGCCCTCGCACTGACCCAAAACATACACAGATTTATAGTCCCCTGTGTAAAACAAGCTGCTACCACTTTTTACCCCTTCTTCCGCCATGTTGAAAGCCGTGTCTCTTTTGCTCTCGAACTCGGTTCTCCTACTACTTGCCTGAGATGATGACGACCCACAAACCTTGTACAGAAACTGAGTTCCAGGAACCTGTTTAAACCCGGCAACCTCGTACCTTAGATAACACCCGCTCAACTGAACCCTGGCAGCTACTGCTCCGCCACAAAGCTTATCGCTCAGTTCCGGGATCTTGCTCACACAACCGTAACAGTGGCTCGTCGTTAGGTCTCCTCTGCATTGATAAAGGCCACTGATTTCATTCGCACCCCCACCAGAAGTAGCAGTGGAGAAAGTTGTATGTGATGATTGTGAAACCAGAGTTTGCATGAGAGTTTCCAGGTTTTGTGAGTAAACCCCAGATGGATCTTGAAATTTCTGGTCAGCACAGCCCTTGAACACCAAGTTGGTGTAATCTGCAGCTGTTGAAACATGAGAGAAGTGCCCCAAAAGGATTGTGATGGAAACCAAACAGATATGGGATTTGCTCGGGAAACCCATTTGACAGCTGGAAAATCTTTGCCCTTAATCTCTGTCACAACATGGAAGTGATGGTTTTAAAAAAGGATGGCTTCTAAATCTTAGGGAGCTAAAATATGGGGTTTAGCTGGAATTACTTACAAGAGTGCTATCGCTTGATAATTGCTATATATGGCTTTAATCTGAACTGTCTTTAAGGCTCACCTTTATTTCTTTGGGGAGTTTGCTTCTTTTTTTTATCCCCTCTGCTTTCTTCAAATCCAAGTGCTTAGCTTTAAAGATGGAAGTTTTGACGGAGACATTTGAAATTGATTTTTTGCTCTGAATTTTTAAATAAACACTATAGTATCGTTATTATATATAACAACAGCCTGAGAAATTGTTTTATAGACCGTCTCTTCACGTTATTTATAGTTTTAGTAAATTATATTTATTAATTTTTAATAATTATTCACTCTTTATTTATATGTAAAAAAAAATCAGATTTAAAAAATAAGATATAAAAATATTATTAGTTACACCATAAATGATGTGATAAATCAGGTCTATTTAATAATTTTTCCTAAACCTGGTGTACTGAGTAAATATTATTATGGGTTATTATTGAATTAGTTCCATGTTAATACTTTGTTTTGCTTCATCTGAGTAAAAAATACGTGACTGGCTAACAAAGAGAGTGCACAAATTGAAATGAAAATTCTTGGAGTCGGACTGTAAACAGCTCTAAGAAACTTGACTTCGCTCTTCATTGGCAAGGGACCTCTTAGAGACAACCAAAGGAAAACCCGAATACGCTGAGAAACTGGCAGGGACCATATGATCTTCTATTTTTGCTCAACCGAGTCCCAACTCCCAAGTGCTATCCACCAGCTGGCCATAGGCGATGAAACATTGAATTGGTAGGAGGAGTCCAGTGCCAAACGACGCGATCCTCTCCACCAACTGGGTTTAGCGGTAACACACATAAGACATGCGAGATAATAGAGGCGAAAATATGCTTCAATAAGTTTTCTATATTCCAATTACCAGTGTTATCAACGAAGTCAAGGAAATTGGTGTTGCTCGAGTTGTCGCTCGAGGATATAAGGTGGTCACGAAGAGGTCTAAGAGTTGGGATCCAACAATCATCCCAAATGTTCAAAGATTGACCATTACTAGGGAGCCAAAGAAGGCATGCGCGAAAACTATTCAAAGTCTTAGAAAGAGCTCTCTACAAAGAAGAGCAATCAGAGCGCGCGATAGTCTAGGGGCAGATCTTAGTCATATGGTACTTTTGGCGAAACGCTTGAATACAAAAGGCATTCGGCCTTGTGATTAAGGTGTAACCAAGCTTCCAAAGGAAATCTGAGTTATGCTCACGAGTTCTGTGAATGCCAACTATTAAGAGGTTGACATAGGGTATCCCAAGAGACGAGAGATTTTCTTATCCAAATTAGTAGAACCCCATATGAATTTCCTGATTAATATATCAATCTCCAAACAAATACTCATAGGCAGCCTTGAGGTTTGCATAAAATAAACAGGGATTGCCGCCAGAACAGACTTTGCCAGAGTGATTCGCCTGGCTATGGATAAGGTTCGAGTAGTTCAACCATTTAATCTAGCTCGAATTTTTTCCAAGATGAAATCGTAATGTGAGCAATTGGCCTGACCATGGATGACTGGAACACCCAAGTATTTGCCCAAGGAGTCAACTTGTTGAAATCCAAGAAGAGAGCATATCTGTGAACGTATATCTGAATCCGTTTTCGGAGAGAAGAAAATATTTGTCTTCCGAGAGTTAACCTTGTGTCCAGAGAATTGAACAAATTTGGAAAGAGTGACGTCAATTAACCGAGCTTGAGTAAGGCCAGCTCTGCAATATAGAATTAGGTCATCGACAAAGAATAGGTGAGAGAGCGGAATACCATGTCGTGCAAAGGAAAAAGGTTTCCAAGATCCAGAGGCAACTTTGTGTCGAATGCTATGGCCAAGCCTTTCCATAACCAAGACAAATAATTAGGGCGAGAGAGGATTACCTTAGTGAATACCTCTTTCAGGGTAGAAAAGAGGCATAAGAGACCCATTCCACTGAATTTGCATCGAAGCAGTAATGATACATTGCATGATGATCTGAATGATACGGGAAGGAAAGTCGACAGTAGAGATTGTCTTTAATGAACCCCTATTTGACCCAATCAAAAGCTTTTTCTAAATTTACTTTAATTGTCATCCATCCTTGGGCAGTGTTTTTCTGGTGCATGGAGTGGATGATCTCAAGATTCAGAATTATATTTTCTATGATCAAGCTACCTACAACGAAACTTGTACATAGTTGTAAAAAGCGTGCCTGAGGCGTAAAAGCGCAGAGGCTCACTGGACGGGACTTTTTCAACACTGAAGCGAGGCACGTAGCCTAGGCGCACCTAGGCGCAGCGAGGCTCTGAGGTACGAGGCTCAGTCGAGGCGCAATTGAGGCGCGATGTGGGCTTAAAACCTTGTAATTATTACTGCAGGGCCTTCTCTTCTATGCATACATGGTCTGCAAAAATGAACGACCATTTTCGTTATGTTGTTTCCAACAAATAAGCTTTGTAATCATTTTTGGTCCTTTCTTCACCTAAGTTTATTTATCTATCAGTATTTGATATTTTCTTTTCCGCTCATCAAAATTTGTGACAGTCTAAAAATTAAGCAAACCTATAATAGGAATGCATTGCGATTAACTGATGAAACTCGGAAAAAAAGGATACTTCTATGTATTAGCATAGATTAAAAAGAATGTTTAATTAACTTATTGATTAATAACTAAGTGAAGGATATAAATCTATGATTTAAAAGTTTTGTGAGTATGTATACTTAAATTATTCGAATTTTACTAAAATAATTAAATTTATTTATTTTGAAATCTAATTTAATTATTCTGAAATTTACATTATACTAATTTAAATAATAATATTTCACAGAACACAAATTTTAATATTAAATTTCAAAATAAACTTATCCTATCTTATCTTCATTTTAATTTTTTTAAAGAAAATATTTTATTATTATTTGAATTTGATTTGTCTTTTAAGGCTCTAACTATACGTAAGAGTCTCCTTTTCTTATTTTTTCCTTCTCCTTTCTTATTTAAAACCCTCAATCTACTGTCAATCGGCCTTCTAATCCATACATACTAATCTATCGATCGTTCGCTTCCTCCTTTTCTTCAACTGGAGACTGCGACGTTGAACAAGAAAGTAGCAACAATTCGATTAATCGATTCACACATTCAATTCTTCCCGTAAGTGATTTTGTTCTTCGATTGATCTTTCGATTTATACTGTTAACCATCTGTGTTGAAAGAATTTTATTTTTCTGAATCAAATTCTCTTGATAATCACCACAATTCGTGCCTATGTGTTTGTTCTTGTTTTTTCTTTTCTTTTCTTTTCTAAGTATACAGTTATTCGTAATTTCATATGTGTTTGTTCTTGTTTTTTTCCTTTTTTAAGTATGCAGTTATTCGTTTGCGTATGTGTCTGTTCTTGATAATCACAGTTTCTCTTATTTAATTTTCTGTTTTCATTTTTCTGGCTTCTGGGACAATATTGTAGCTGTTAATCATCAATATTTTGCTTTTGAAAAATCTGATTTGACATTATGACTTCTGAAAATCAGTCATCAACTTCTTCAAAGCAAGATATAGCTTGGAAGTATTGCATTGACATGGGCAAAGGTAAAGCAAGATATGTTTCTGTATATGTAGCAGCAGGTGATGAAACGTCCATATTAAATTATTATATTTGTATATATTTATATAATTATATAAGACTTGAAGTTTTATACTATTTTAATTTTTATATCTTTATAGGACGTTTATTGATGGCGAAACGTCCACATTTATACTGGACTCCATATGCTACTCATTGTCTTGATTTGATGCTTGAAGACATAGGAAGGATTTCGAAAGTCCGTGTCACGTTGAAGAGAGCAATGGCCTTAAACGAGTTTATATATAGTCGTACAGGTGTTGTAAACATGATGAGGAAGTTTACCGGGAAAAGAGAGTTGGTGAGACCCGCGATAACCAGATTTGCCACCGCTTACATCACTCTTCGTTCAATACAAGTTCAAAAGGCAAACCTTAGAAAGATGTTTACTTCTGATGAATGGAGGAAGAGTAAATACTCAAAAGAGCATGGCGGTAAAAGAGTCGCATCCATTGTTTTGATGCCTACCTTTTGGAGTACAATTGTGTATATCCTTAAGATGACGGGTCCTCTCGTAAAAGTGCTTAGGTTAGTTGATGGTGAAAAAAGGCCGGCCATGGGCTATGTATATGAGGCCATGGATAGGGCAAAAGAAGCAATTACAAACTCCTTTAATAATGTGGAGGACAAGTACAAAGATGTGTTTGCAATTATTGACAAAGGTGGGAATGTCAACTCCATCAACCATTACACGCGGCCGGGTGTTATTTGAATCCTCAGTTATTCTACTCAAATCCCTAAATTCAAGAGGATAAAGAGGTGATGATCGGGTTGCTTAAATGCATTGAGAAATTAGTGCCGAGTGTTGTTGATAAAGGTAAAATAGAGGACCAATTGTCACTTTATAGGAACGCCGAAGGTATATTTGGGATGGCAATATGCATACGTCAAAGAGAAGCAAAGTCACCAGGTTACTTTCTTTATACATATATAAAATAATATAAATCAAATTTAATTTTTGCTTGTTCTAAAACTTGTTCTAAAATATATATTTACAGCTGAGTGGTGGGCTTCTTTTGGCAATGATGCACCGGAATTAAAAAAGTTTGCCATCAAAGTCCTCAGCCTTACGTGTAGTGCAAGTGGTTGTGAGCGAAATTGGAGTATTTTTAGCCTCATAAGTAACTCAGATATCATTTAAGAAACATCATAAGTAATGTTTTTGACTCTTTATTATTCTGTTATAATTTGGCAGCTTTATAACAAAAGAAGAAACCGACTTGCGCAAACTCAGCTCAATAATTTAGTCTATGTGAAATATAATCAAGCGTTAAAGCGGCGTTATAATCATCGTGATGTCATTGATCCAATCTCTTTGGATGACATTGATGAAAGTAACGAATGGTTGCTTGGTAGAATGGATGAGATGAAGAAGAAAATGAAGATTATGTGTTTGATGATGACGATTTGACATGGAAGGATGTTGGTATAGCTTCCGGAGCTTATGAGCGTGACCATAATACTAGAAGAAAGAACGTTGCTAGTTCAAGCTCGAAAGGAAAGGAAAAATCTAGACCACACCTTATAGATGAAGATGATGAAGTTGTTATGCTAGAGGAGAGTGACACTGAAGAAGAAGACATTGGGGATTATGAAACGGATGAGGAGGAAGATGATGACATACCACTTGACGATGATGATGAGGATTAGTTTGATGTTTGATGATGATTATCAGTGACTTTATTTGATGTTTTGTTTTTGCATGTTGAATGTTTTTGTTAAACTTAGTACTTGATTATGCTTGTTGATAACTTTTATGACGTTAGGTTGGTATTTTGAATTTGAGAATAAACTCTATTGAAGCCTAATATTGAGTATCTATGATATTTGAGTTTGATTGCATTAATATATACATGTGTTACAATTTTTTGGATATCATGCGCCTCGCCTTCGTGAATCCCGCGCCTTTCATGCGCCTCGATGCGCCTTGAGCCTTTGATAACTTTGAACTTGTTTGAACTGGATGAATGAGACTTGACATTATCGGTTTCAAGCGTCTGATAATAATTTTGGTTATGAGCTTATAGAGGACGAAGCATAAGTTGATGGGCCGAAAATAGGCCATTGTCTGCGGAGCCTCAAGCTTGGGGAGGTTCTATTTAAATAAGGGTCAATCGGGGCACCATTGAAAAAAACTTTAATCATGCAGCAAATTTCAAGGCCAACAATGCTCAAGTTCTTTTGGAAGAATTCGATGTGAAGACCGTCAGAACCCAGGGCTTTCAAATGAGCCATATCAAATAGTGCCTCATGAATTTCCTTATCATTCACCGGGGCGTCATGACTAGCGTAAACAATCGGGTCAAGAGTAGGGAAGGACTCCGAATAAGGAAACGGGCCAGATAGGGAATGAGAATCAACACAAAGATGACGGAAGAAGTTAATTGCCTCGAATTGAAGCTTTGTATCGTCATAGAACCACTCTCTATCACTAGTTTTGAGTGCGGAAATGCGATTTTTTGCTTTACGATATGAGCAGTCTTTTGGTGAAAATATTTGGTATTCCTGTTTCCTTGAGTGATCCAATCGAAATGTGATTTTTTACTCCCATAGGAGTTCTTCTTGGTCTAGAAGTGATTCAAGCTCAACTTGCTGATTAAATTCAATGGATGAAAGAGAAGCAGTGTACATGTGATCAAGGGACTTTTGAACACCCCTCAAGCGAGCCATGACAACACGTTTCTTGGCGCCAATATATTCAAACACATTTTTGTTCCAAGTGTCTGCAGCATCAGTAAAGTTGGAAATAGTTTCAGACAAACTAGAAGCCGATTTTCAATTCTCAAGAACCATCATCTCGAAATCATCGTGAGCAAGCCAACCAGAGAAGTACTTGAATTGCCGAGGATGACTATGCTTTGGGGAAGGCCGAGAATGGAGGAGAATGGGACGATGATCAGAGCAAATCCGAAGAAGATGATGCACAAAGGATTCAAGGAAAAGCTCATCCCAGTGCGAGTTACAAAGAGCTTGGTCCAAGCGCGCATAAACATGACCCCGATTCCAAGTGAAATCAGGACCTTGGAAGCCTAAGTCTCTCAACCCAGTGCTAAAGATCATATGCTGAAAGTCCTTGCTGACGGTAGTAGAGGAAACAAACCCTTTACAATAAAAAAGATGAAGTGTAACATTAAAATCCCCGATGAGGACCCAAAGGGAATGAATATTTTCGGCCAAAGAGATGAGATAAGCCCAAAGAGACTTCTTTTTAGTAGGATTGGGGCTCGCATAGACGAGGGTGCCTAACGATGAATTACAATCACTTTGGTGGATCATCTGGAAATGGATGAACTATGGGTGATTAACAAGAACCTGAATACGAATGGATTTAAACCAACAGAGCCATAAGCCTCCAAAGAAATCTTGTGCTTCAATGCGGTGAGAATTAGGAAAACCGAATTTAGCAATAACAGAATCAACCTTAACCCCGCTTATCCTCGGCGCAACATAATCCACAACATCCTGCTTATTATCGCGAATATATTGTTTAGCGACCTTAATAAATTTGGGGTCTCCACAACCCCAAACATTCCAAACGAGAAACTTTATCATCAGAAATAATGAGAGGAAAGAATATACCCAATGTCATTCAACGACCATAGCCACCCGGTTTTCCTCTCGAGAGGTCCCGCTCGGATGCACACTAGAATATAGCCACAACGCCTTGGTTATCACTACTTGGGGGGATAATGAGCACACCTGCTACCCAACTTTTGCTCTAGCATTAGAAGGATCACCAAGGACGACCAGGATAGTGCCTTGAGGTAGCACATTCGGGTCGGTATTTTCTTGGATGGTAATAACAATATGTTTCTTGGGGTCAAGTGTGGAGGCAGGTTTTAATTTTTGTGTGTCTAGAGGGTCGAGAGGTCGTCGCTGGACGAGCTGTAGATGTCGAGGAACCCTTAGAGGATGAGGGTTGTACGTTGAGCTATAGGGATTTTCTGACTGATACTATTTTTAGTACCCAAATAGCTTTTGGAGCAGACGGGGCTTTGTCCTTATTCATGATCGGTGTTTTAGGGTCTGAAACTGGGCAGGGGGCTTCAGTGGGGTGCTGCTGGGGAGATGGATCATTAATAACATCTCGGTCGCCTCATAGATGGGGTTAAAACGGGAACCACTTGGAAGGTTTGACTTCATGGATGTGCTAGAGCTGGTTGGTTTGGAAGGATTACATCTTTGCTTTCTCTCAACTATCATCCATGGGTCAAACTTAAAATTTTATGGGTTCTTAGTCGGGATAGGAGGGTCGGGCTGCGGTGATGAAACATGTTAAACACTTTTGGAGGGGCAAATATCTGCGACGTGGCCATATCTTCTACATTCGAAACAGATTGTGGAGAGTACCTCATACTCAACAAGTTGAAGTCGGTCATTGATGAGAATTTTCGAGACGAGAGGCTTACTCAGATTAGTAGCAACGACCATAAGAGTAAAACGCCCCCGACGACCGTATTCGGTTAGGTAATCAGGCTTGATAACGGGTCCAATGAGCTCACATATCTCCGTTATTAAACTGTATTTGTAAAGAGTCGCAGGCAAACCCAACAGTCTGACCCAAGCAATTGTTCTTTGTGGGTGAGCTTGAGATGCCGAAAAGTTAATAGTACATGGTTCGACAATCAGATAATGCTCGAAAATCATCCATTGTCCATCAGCGAGGGTTATCAGGTAGTCTGAGTGAGTGCAAAAGGTAATCAGGAAGTAATCATTTTCGATATCCATGACTCAAACTGATTTAGACGACTTCCACCAATCATAAATCTTGTGTAGAATAGTAGTGTACCATATTCTCCTTCCCAAGAGCTTGACGACAACCGTTTGATTGAAACTTTTCTATACCAATTCTTGAACACGGTTGGAAAATTCAATGGAGATAACACCGTCAATAATAGTACAGGTGACGTCTTCATCTAGTAAATCTATTTCTTCCTCATCAAATATAGAATCATCGGGTACAGGAACTGTGGGGTTGCCACCCATTAATGTTTATTTGTAGGACAGGGTCGTAAGGGGGTTGACACTACATGGGGAAAGTTATTCTCAATTCATTCCATAACAGTAGGATTACTCGTGGGTTATGTCTCCTGCAACGCGAGGGATTTTGAGTGATCAGGGTTCGTCGACTTTTCAGGATTGGCATCCGCTTCAATCAGACTAACGCCCTCATCCGGCGGCTTAAGGCCAACACGTTGAGGCTTCTTCACGAACCGACCATCATCAGATGACGGCGGGATAGGGTGGTGAGCGGTATTGGAATCTTTCGAAAAGTTGAAGGATGCATTAGGGTTTTTTTTTAATGGTTGTCGTAGTTTGTAGATGATTCTTTAGCCACCTTCATCAAACTCGCTCGCAGGAATCCTTAACCTTAAAAACGACCACTCATCTTATTCAAGCAAAACTTGGAGCAATCGTCCCAAAGCGCTACTAGCAACCTCGAAGACAAAAAGGGAAGTCCAATGTCAAGTATCTCTAACGACGGAAGGAAGGTTTCAACGGTGCACAAAATGCACGTTGATGAAGATTTCAGGCTCAAGTGGTTCACTTTCTCTATCCTCTAGCTAATACTAGTTACATGAACATCTCCAACATTCTAGCAGATAGTGTCCCACAAGATCATCAAGTCGTTGAAGATTACCCATAGCTCGAATTTCAAAACCAAACAAACTCCAATACTACGAAAAAAACCACCTAGCCAGTCACCATTATCATCCCTCACTAAACCCTCAGCTTTAGCAAAATAAGTCACACTTGGATGACTAGTTTGACCATGCCTTGTGGAGAACGTTGCCAACAAAGTTTCTCCCTTGACAAACCCCTCCAACACATGCTACCAGAAAAGGTTGAACATATAGATTTTTGCCAACTAATTATTTGCTTTCCAGAATGCAAGCGGTTGATGGAAGAAAGGAATGAAAAGTAATAGAATTTTTTTAACATAATTTGTTATTTGATAAATAACACATTTTAATAGCAACATCATACCAATGTCAAAAGCTGTACATGTGTTTAAACTTAGGAACCTACTTACAAAACATGCTGCACACTTTTTACCTACTGAAGACATTGATTCCCTCTTGGAGGCCTGGAGAGGAAATTATGCTCACACCCCGAGGGCATATCCGGCCGAATGCCACTAGGATTTAATGGAAAAAGCAACTGGTAATAGCCATCCATAATTTCTGGAAAATTGCAAGTGGCAGCAATCTTCGGAATCTGATAAGAAATAAAACATTACAATTCTATATACTGCACATTTGGAGTAACAAAAATTCAACAAAAACAGAATCCTAATCCATGCTATTATTAGCCCCTAAACAAAGTAGCTTGAGTTAGGGGAATATCTAACTAATGCATACACAAAGTGATACAAGACGCTCTTTATAAGTATTATCAACTAATTCACTC